CTGAGATCGGCCCTCGTGGTCTCTGAGCAGCCCAGCTTTTGAGAAAGCAAGCGCCTATTCGATTTCTGAGATCGGCCTTCGTGGTCTTTGAGCAACCCAGCTTTTGAGAAAGCAAACGCCTCTTCGATTTCTGAGATCGACCCTCGTGGTCTTTAAGCAGCCCAGCTTTTGAGAAAGCAAACGCCTCTTCAATTTCTGAGCAGGCGCCTCTTCGATTTCTGAAGCTCTGTCGAGTGGAGATTTTTATAAGGGATGGCATTAAGTTCCAAAGCACACTTGAATCTCCACCAGTAGAAGCTTCATTCTTGCACTTCTAAGATCTTGATTTGTCCGACCTCTTCTCTCTTCAACACCTTTGAAAAATGTCTGGCCCCTCCGACCGTCGTTTTGACTTGAACCTTGTTGAAGAGGCAGCTCTGCCTTCTCCAGACAACATATGGCGCCCATCCTTCGTCTCCCCTACTGGTCCTCTTACCGTTGGGGATTCCGTGATGAAGAATGATATGACCGCTGCGGTGGTGGCCAGGAACCTTCTCACTCCCAAAGATAACAGACTACTTTCCAAACGGTCTGATGAGTTAGCTGTTAAGGATTCTCTGGCTCTCAGTGTTCAGTGTGCAGGTTCTGTGTCTAATATGGCCCAACGCCTATTTGCTCGAACCCGCCAAGTTAAATCATTGGCGGCTGAAGTGATGAATCTCAAACAGGAGATTAGAGGGCTCAAGCATGAGAATAAACAGTTGCACCGGCTCGCACATGACTATGCTACAAACATGAAGAGGAAGCTTGACCAGATGAAGGAATCTGATGGTCAGGTTTTACTTGATCATCAGAGATTTGTGGGTTTATTCCAAAGGCATTTATTGCCTTCGTCTTCTGGGGCTGTACCGCGTAATGAAGCTCCAAATGATCAACCTCTGATGCCTCCTCCTTCTAGGGTTCTGTCCAGTACTGAGGCTCCGAATGATCCCCGTCCGGTGCCTTCTCTTTCTGGGGCTCTACCGACTGCTGAGACTTCTCCCAAGCAACCTTTGTGAAGGCTCCCTCTTGTTTGTTTATTTTGACTTATGTGTATGTACATATTTGTAGCTTATCAGGGATATCAATAAATAAGCTTTCCTTCATTTCAACGTATTGTGTTAATTACACCAAAGCCTTCTTCGCTAAGTTCTTTGAATTTTCTTTTGTTGAAGCTTTGTGAGTGGAGCATGTAGGTTGAGGTAGTGTTCCCTTAATTTCCTGAGTGAGGAAAACTTCTCGGTTTGAGACTTGGAAAATCCAAGTCACTGAGTGGGATCGGCTATATGAATCTTAGAACGCCATTGTGCTCGGTCCTGTGTCATATCCTTCGTTAGATCCAAGTACTCTAAGTCTTTTCTTAGAGTCTCTTCCAAAGTTTTCCTAGGTCTTCCTCTACCCTTCGGCCCTGAACCTCTGTCCCATAGTCGCATCTTCTAATCGGAGCGTCAGTAGGCCTTCTTTGCACATGTCCAAACCACCGTAACCGATTTTCTCTCATCTTTCCTTCAATTGCGGCTACTCCTACTTTACCCCGGATATCCTCATTCCTAATCTTATCCTTTCTCGTGTGCCCACACATCCAACGAAACATCCTCATCTCCGCTACACCCATTTTGTGTACGTGTTGATGCTTCACCGCCCAACATTCTATGCCATACAGCATCGCCGACCTTATTGCCGTCCTATAAAATTTTCCCTTGAGCTTCAGTGGCATACGGCGGTCACACAACACGCCGGATGCACTCTTCCACTTCATCCATCCAGCTTGTATTCTATGGTTGAGATCTCCATCTAATTCTCCGTTCTTTTGCAAGATAGATCCTAGGTAACGAAAACGGTCGCTCTTTGGTATTTCTTGATCTCCGATTATCACCCCTAACTCGTTTTGGCCTCCATTTGCACTGAACTTGCACTCCATATATTCTGTCTTTGATCGGCTTAAGCGAAGACCTTTAGATTCCAACACTTCTCTCCAAAGGTTAAGCTTTGCATTTACCCCTTCCTGAGTTTCATCTATCAACACTATATCGTCTGCGAAAAGCATACACCAAGGAATATCATCTTGCATATGTCCTGTTAACTCATCCATTACCAACGCAAAAAGGTAAGGACTTAAGGATGAGCCTTGATGTAATCCTACAGTTATGGGAAAGCTTTCAGTTTGTCCTTCATGAGTTCTTACGGCAGTCTTTGCTCCTTCATACATATCCTTTATAGCTTGGATATATGCTACTCGTACTCCTTTCTTCTCTAAAATCCTCCAAAGAATGTCTCTTGGGACCCTATCATACGCTTTCTCCAAATCTATAAAGACCATGTGTAAATCCTTTTTCCTATCTCTATATCTTTCCATCAATCTTCGTAAGAGATAGATTGCCTCCATGGTTGAGCGCCCTGGCATGAACCCGAATTGGTTGTCCGAAACTCGTGTCTCTTGCCTCAATCTATGCTCAATGACTCTCTCCCAAAGCTTCATTGTATGACTCATTAGCTTAATACCCCTATAGTTCATGCAATTTTGTACGTCGCCCTTATTCTTGTAGATAGGCACCAAAGTGCTCGTTCACCACTCATTTGGCATCTTCTTCGTTTTCAAAATCCTATTGAAAAGGTCAGTGAGCCATGTTATACCTGTCTCTCCCAAAACTTTCCACACTTCGATTGGTATATCGTCTGGGCCTACTACTTTTCTATGCTTCATCTTCTTCAAAGCTACAACCACTTCTTCCTTCCGGATTCGACGATAAAAAGAGTAGTTTCTACACTCTTCTGAGTTACTCAACTCCTCTAAAGAAACACTCATTTCATGTCCTTCATTGAAAAGATTATGAAAATAACCTCTCCATCTGTCTTTAACCGCGTTCTCTGTAGCAAGAACCTTTCCATCCTCATCCTTGATTGATGCACCTCACTTGGTTTAGGTCCCTTGTCTTCTTTTCCCTTGCTCTAGCTAGTTTATAGATATCCAACTCTCCTTCTTTGGTATCTAGTCGTTTATACATATCGTCGTAAGCCGCTAACTTAGCTTCTCTCACAGCTTTCTTCGCCTCTTGCTTCGCTTTTCTATACCTTTCACCATTTTCATCAGTCCTATCCTTGTATAAGGCTTTACAACATTCCTTCTTAGCCTTCACCTTTGTTTGTACCTCCTCATTCCACCACCAAGATTCCTTTTGGTGTGGGGCAAAGCCCTTGGACTCTCCTAATACCTCTTTTGCTACTTTTCGAATACAACTAGCCATGGAATCCCACATTTGGCTAGCTTCCCCCTCTCTATCCCACACATACTGGATGATTACTTTCTCTTTGAAAATGGCTTGTTTTTCTTCTTTTAGATTCCACCATCTAGTCTTTGGGCACTTCCAAGTCTTGTTCTTTTGTCTCACTCTTTTGATATGTACATCCATCACCAACAAGCGATGTTGATTAGCCACGCTCTCTCCTGGTATAACTTTGCAATCCTTACAAGTTATACGATCCCCTTTCCTCATTAGAAGAAAATTTATTTGTGTTTTTGACGACCCACTCTTGTAGGTGATCACATGTTCTTCTCTCTTCTTAAAGAAGGTGTTGGCTAAGAAGAGATCATATGCCATTGCAAAATCCAAGATAGCTTCCCCATCCTCGTTTCTCTCCCCAAAACCATGGCCACCATGAAAACCTCCATAGTTGCATGTCTCCCTGCCCACGTGTCCATTTAAATCTCCTCCTATAAATAACTTCTCCGTCTGAGCAATTCCTTGCACCAAGTCTCCAAGGTCTTCCCAAAATTTCTCCTTCGACCTCGTATCCAACCCTACTTGAGGTGCGTACGCACTAATCACATTGATAAGTTCTTGTCCTATTACAATCTTGTTTGCCATGATTCTATCTCCTACCCTCTTGACATCTACAACATCTTGTGTCAAGGTCTTGTCCACGATGATGCCAACACCGTTTCTCGTTCTATTTGTGCCCGAATACCAAAGTTTAAACCCTGAGTTTTCTAGATCCTTTGCCTTACTACCAACCCACTTAGTTTCTTGTAGGCACATAATATTTATCCTTCTCCTCACCATAACTTCCACTACTTCCATAAATTTTCCCGTTAAGGTTCCTATAGGGTGCGTTTGGTACGCAGACGGGACGGGACGGGACGGGACGGAACGGAACAGGACGGGACGGGACGGGACGGGACGGGACGGGACGGAACGAAGGTGTAATTTTTGAAAAAGAAATGGGGTATATTTGTCTTAAAATGGTAAAACATTGTGTTCCACATACGTGGAACAAACCCGTTCCAGGGGGGGAGGTGGAACGCAAAAACACCCAAAATCTGTCCCGTGGAACAGCCCGTTCCACCCATTTTTGGCGCACCAAACGCGGGACGGAACGCCTCGTCCCGTTCCGTCCCGTCCCGTCCCGCGTACCAAACGCACCCATATTCCACGTTCCTAAACGCATTTTGCTCTCTTGAACTCTACCCTTCTGTCCTAGCTTCTTCACCATCCCCCGTCTAATAGGATCAAAGTACTTCTTTTGTGTGTCCCGTGTAAAGTTGATAGGAGCATATGCTCCCAAACAACTTTGAGTGGAGTCGTTCGAAAAGAAGTTTTTATGGCCCCCTTGCTCATTTAACACTGCATCCGGGTGCCGATGGAGATACAGCGACCCTTGCTCACTTATCACTGTGCTCGGGCCACACAGCGCGCCACTTACGGGTGACGCCCTTGCTTTAGCGCGATTTTGTTCTGGATTCATTTTCATAAGGATTCGACGTGATCATGGAGTGCCGGCTGTCGACTACCTGACGCCATCCCCCTCCTCCTTTATCCGGGCTTGGGACCGGCAATGTAAGATAAACTTACATAGGCGGAGTTATCTCAAAGACAAGAACACAAGGCTAAATTGTCATTGTGTTGTTAGTCCTACTATGCACAGCTTAAAACTCTTGAAGATATTTCTAAAATATGATAAAATATCTTCCATATAGCTGGATTCTATGGCTCTTCTTTGTCATCTCGTGGCCATTGACAAGAAAAAAGGGGTGGTGGTGGATCAACGCTCAAGGTGCCCTCCAACACCTTAACCACCTCTCTCATTGGAGGTCTTCTACGTTCATCAATTTGGACACACCAAAATGCAATTCTCAAAGCACGTTCCAGCTCTTGTGGAATAAACCCGCCAATTATTTTCCTGTCTATCACATTCTCTTGATGCCCTTGCAGCCACTCTTTGTATGCCCACTCACAAAGGTCCCCAACTCGACAGCCACTTACTAATACTAACACCATCTTACCAAAGTCCTCCACAACTCAGCAGATGAGCATGAAGAGCATGATACCTTGCTGACTATGTTCCTAAGTCCAAATTCAGTCACCTTGGCCTCTAAATTTTGATCAAGTACAACATTCTCGCATTTGAAATTCCCATGGCTCATAAATTCCATACAGCTTGTGTGTAGATAACAGACGGCCCTTCCGACACTTAAGCATGTATCAAATCTCTTCCCCCAAGTCAGCTTCTTACACAATTTAAGATCTTCTATATACTTCTCCAGAGAACCATTCTTGACATATTCATAGACCAGAAATTTGTGATCTACCTCACAACAGTAGCCCTGCAGCTTTACAAGGCTTTTGTGATGAATGTTACCTATCTTTGTAACTATACCCCGGTATTTTCTGTCTTCTACACTTGCATCCACATCTTTGATAGCAACTGGTTTTCTATTTGGAAGAACGCCTTTGAACATCTTTGGCCCAATCTGATATTTGAAGTTCTCTGTAAGATCCTCTATTTCAGATAAGGATAACACTATCAAGCCGTTTGAGTTTGGGCTGGTATGAGCAAAAGCAGCTTTCTTCCTAACCGAAATTCTTCTTCTGTAGAACCAGAAACCAAGTGCCAGTTGAACTAAAATAAATGCAATGAACATTCCTGCCGCTAACTCCGCCTATGTACTTACATTGCCGGTCCCAAGCCCGGATAAAGGAGGAGGGGGAGGGCGTCAGGTAGTCGACAGCCGGCACTCCATGATCACGTCGAATCCTTATGAACATGAATTCAGAACAAAATTGCGCTAAAGCTAGGGCGTCACCCGTAAGTGGCGCGCTGTGTGGCCCGAGCACAGTGATAAGTGAGCAAGGGTCGCTGTATCTCCATCGGCACCCGGATGCAGTGTTAAATGAGCAAGGGGGCCATAGAAACTTCTTTTCGAACGACTCCACTCAAAGTTGTTTGGGAGCATATGCTCCTATCAACTTTACACGGGACACACAAAAGAAGTACTTTGATCCTATTAGACGGGGGAGGGTGAAGAAGCTAGGACAGAAGGGTAGAGTTCAAGAGAGCAAAATGCGTTTAGGAACGTGGAATATAGGAACCTTAACGGGAAAGTCTATGGAAGTAGTGGAAGTTATGGTGAGGAGAAGGATAAATATTATGTGCCTACAAGAAACTAAGTGGGTTGGTAGTAAGGCAAAGGATCTAGAAAACTCAGGGTTTAAACTTTGGTATTCGGGCACAAATAGAACGAGAAACGGTGTTGGCATCATCGTGGACAAGACCTTGACACAAGATGTTGTAGATGTCAAGAGGGTAGGAGATAGAATCATGGCAATCAAGATTGTAATAGGACAAGAACTTATCAATGTGATTAGTGCATACGCACCTCAAGTAGGGTTGGATACGAGTTCGAAGGAGAAATTTTGGGAAGACCTTGGAGACTTGGTGCAAGGAATTGCTCAGACGGAGAAGTTATTTATAGGAGGAGATTTAAATGGACACGTGGGCAGGGAGACAGGCAACTATGGAGGTTTTCATGGTGGCCATGGTTTTGGGGAGAGAAACGAGGATGGGGAAGCTATCTTGGATTTTGCAATGGCATATGATCTCTTCTTAGCCAACACCTTCTTTAAGAAGAGAGAAGAACATGTGATCACCTACAAGAGTGGGTCGTCAAAAACACAAATAGATTTTCTTCTAATGAGGAAAGGGGATCGTATAACTTGTAAGGATTGCAAAGTTATACCAGGAGAGAGCGTGGCTAATCAACATCGCTTGTTGGTGATGGATGTACATATCAAAAGAGTGAGACAAAAGAACAAGACTTGGAAGTGTCCAAGGACTAGATGGTGGAATCTAAAAGAAGAAAAACAAGTCATTTTCAAAGAGAAAGTAATCACCCAGTGTGTGTGGGATAGAGATGGGGAATCTAGCCAAATGTGGGATTCCATGGCTAGTTGTATCCGAAAAGTAGCAAAAGAGGTATTAGGAGAGTCCAAGGGCTTTGCCCCACACCAAAAGGAATCTTGGTGGTGGAATGAGGAGGTACAAACAAAGGTGAAGGCTAAGAAGGAATGTTGTAAAGCCTTATACAAGGATAGGACTGATGAAAATGGTGAAAGGTATAGAAAGGCGAAGCAAGAGGCGAAGAAAGCTGTGAGAGAAGCTAAGTTAGCGGCTTACGACGATATGTATAAACGACTAGATACCAAAGAAGGAGAGTTGGATATCTCTATAAACTAGCTAGAGCAAGGGAAAAGAAGACAAGGGACCTAAACCAAGTGAGGTGCATCAAGGATGAGGATGGAAAGGTTCTTGCTACAGAGAACGCGGTTAAAGACAGATGGAGAGGTTATTTTCATAATCTTTTCAATGAAGGACATGAAAGGAGTGCTTCTTTGGGGGAGTTGAGTAACTCAGAAGAGTGTAGAAACTACTCTTTTTATCGTCGAATCCGGAAGGAAGAAGTGGTTGTAGCTTTGAAGAAGATGAAGCATAGAAAAGCAATAGGCCCAGACGATATACCAATCGAAGTGTGGAAAGTTTTGGGAGAGACAGGTATAACATGGCTCACTGACCTTTTCAATAGGATTTTGAAAACGAAGAAGATGCCAAAATGAGTGGCGAACGAGCACTTTGGTGCCTATCTACAAGAAATAAGGGCGACGTACAAAATTGCGTGAACTATAGGGGTATTAAGCTAATGAGTCATACAATGAAGCTCTGGGAGAGAGTCATTGAGCATAGATTGAGGCAAGAGACACGGGTTTCGGACAACCAATTCGGGTTCATGCCAGGGCGCTCAACCATGGAGGCAATCTATCTCTTACGAAGATTGATGGAAAGATATAGAGATGGGAAAAAGGATTTACACATGGTCTTTATAGATTTGGAGAAAGCGTATGATAGGGTCCCAAGAGACATTCTTTGGAGGATTTTAGAGAAGAAATGAGTACGAGTAGCATATATCCAAGCTATAAAGGATATGTATGAAGGAGCAAAGACTGCCGTAAGAACTCATGAAGGACAAACTGAAAGCTTTCCCATAACTGTAGGATTACATCAAGGCTCATCCTTAAGTCCTTACCTTTTTGCGTTGGTAATGGATGAGTTAACAGGACATATTCAAGATGATATTCCTTGGTGTATGCTTTTCGCAGACGATATAGTGTTGATAGATGAAACTCAGGAAGGGGTAAATGCAAAGCTTAACCTTTGGAGAGAAGTGTTGGAATCTAAAGGTCTTCGACTAAGCCGATCAAAGACAGAATATATGGAGTGCAAGTTCAGTGCAAATGGAGGTCAAAACGAGTTAGGGGTGAGGATCGGAGATCAAGAAATACCAAAGAGCGACCGTTTTCGTTACCTAGGATCTATCTTGCAAAAGAACGGAGAATTAGATGGAGATCTCAACCATAGAATACAAGCTGGATGGATGAAGTGGAAGAGTGCATCCGGCGTGTTGTGTGATCGCCGTATGCCACTGAAGCTCAAGGGAAAATTTTATAGGACGGCAATAAGGTCGGCGATGCTGTATGGCACAGAATGTTGGGCGGTGAAGCATCAACACGTACACAAAATGGGTGTAGCGGAGATGAGGATGCTTCGTTGGATGTGTGGGCACACGAGAAAGGATAAGATTAGGAATGAGGATATCCGGGGTAAAGTAGGAGTAGCCGAAATTGAAGGAAAGATGAGAGAAAATCGGTTACGGTGGTTTGGACATGTGCAAAGAAGGCCTACTGACGCTCCGATTAGAAGATGCGACTATGGGACAGAGGTTCAGGGCCGAAGGGGTAGAGGAAGACCTAGGAAAACTTTGGAAGAGACTTTAAGAAAAGACTTAGAGTACTTGGATCTAACGAAGGACATGACACAGGACCGAGCACAATGGCGTTCTAAGATTCATATAGCCGATCCCACTCAGTGACTTGGATTTTCCAAGTCTCCAACCGAGAAGTTTTCCTCACTCAAGAAATTAAGGGAACACTACCTCAACCTACATGCTCCACTCACAAAGCTTCAACAAAAGAAAATTCAAAGAACTTAGCGAAGAAGGCTTTGGTGTATTTAACACAATACGTTGAAATGAAGGAAAGCTTATTTATTGATATCCCCGATAAGCTACAAATATGTACATATACATAAGTCAAAATAAACAAACAAGAGGGAGCCTTCACAAAGGTTGCTTAGGAGAAGTCTCAGCAGTCGGTAGAGCCCCAGAAAGAGAAGGCACCGGAAGGGGATCATTCGGAGCCTCAGTACTGGACAGAACCCTAGAAGGAGGAGGCATCAAAGGTTGATCATTTGGAGCTTCATTACGCGGTACAGCCCCAGAAGACGAAGGCAATAAATGCCTTTGGAATAAACCCACAAATCTCTGATGATCAAGTAAAACCTGACCATCAGATTCCTTCATCTGGTCAAGCTTCCTCTTCATGTTTGTAGCATAGTCATGTGCGAGCCGGTGCAACTGTTTATTCTCATGCTTGAGCCCTCTAATCTCCTGTTTGAGACTCATCACTTCAGCCGCCAATGATTCAACTTGGCGGGTTCGAGCAAATAGGCGTTGGGCCATATTAGACACAGAACCTGCACACTGAACACTGAGAGCCAGAGAATCCTTAACAGCTAACTCATCAGACCGTTTGGAAAGTAGTCTGTTATCTTTGGGAGTGAGAAGGTTCCTGGCCACCACCGCAGCGGTCATATCATTCTTCATCACGGAATCCCCAACGGTAAGAGGACCAGTAGGGGAGACGAAGGATGGACGCCATATGTTGTCAGGAGAAGGCGGGGCTGCCTCTTCAACAAGGTTCAAGTCAAAACGACGGGTCGGAGGGGCCAGACATTTTCAAAGGTTGTTGAAGAGAGAGAAGAGGTCGGACAAATCAAGATCTTAGAAGTGCAAGAATGGAGCTTCTACTGGTGGAGATTCAAGTGTGCTTTGGAACTTAATGCTAGCCCCTATAAAAATCTGCACTCGACGGAGCTTCAGAAATCGAAGAGGCGCCTGCTCAGAAATCGAAGAGGCGTTTGCTTTCTCAAAAGCAAGGCTGCTCAGATACCACGAGGGTCGATCTCAGAAATCGAAGAGGCGTTTGCTTTCTCAAAAGCTGGGCTGCGCAAAGACCACGAAGGCCGATCTCAGAAATCGAAGAGGCGCGTGCTTTCTCAAAAGCTGGGCTGCTCAGAGACCACGAGGGCCGATCTCAGAAATAGAAGAGGCACCTACTGTTCCAGCCTTGTCAGCACCTGTCACACGCACACTCAGCTTTGCGGAAATTATGGGCATTCGGTCGAAGACTTCTGGTGAAGTAGAAAGCACATGAGTCTTACTGTTCAATCACCCACTTCCCCACTTCCCACACGCAACAGTAGCTCATGGGTACCACAGATAACTTTGCCAAAGTTCTCTGCCAAAGTTGAACACGTGAAGCTTGTAGCTCCCACTACATCGCTCTGACCAAGAAGGGTAAAAGAATAGCAAAGAAACAACACTAACAAAGTTTAGACACATAAATTTTGAAGGTCTAGCTACCATATTATTACCCACAAGGGTAAAGGAACAGTACCACTGCTGGATAATTGGAAAGTCCCTGTGTGTCAACCTCTGTGCTTCGTGGCAAGGTAGACTAGCAAACATGCCCAACCTTTAATCACATTCGAGAAAACACTCACAACAAGATTGCTTGCTCCAAAATCGAAGAGGCACCGTCCTCCGAATCTCGAGAGCCAGACTCCCAACATGACTACTTTCTCAAAAATCGAAGAGGGTAAAGGAACAGTACCATTGCTAGATAATTGGAAAGTCCCTGTGTGTCAACCTTTGTGCTTCGTGGCAAGGTAGACTAGCAAACATGCCCAACCTTTACTCACATTCGAGAAAACACTCCCAACAAGATTGCTTGCTCCAAAATCGAAGAGGCACCGCCCTCCGAATCTCGAGAGCCAGACTCCCAACATGATTACTTTCTCAAAAATCGAAGAGACACCGCTCTCCGAATCTCGAGAGCCAGACCCCCAGCATGATTGCTTTCTCAAAAATCGAAGAAGCATCGTTCTCCGAATCTCGAGAGCCAGATCCCCGATAGGATTGCTTGTTCGAAAACCGAAGAGGCAACACTTTCCCAACTTCAAAAGCCGGATCTCCTTGGATAAAGCTGTCTGTAATCTTCACACGCAACATCAGCTTTCCAGATACCACAAACCACTTTTTCAAAGTGCTCTGACAGCGTTAAAACATGTGAAGCTGACAGCTCCCACTACCGTGCTATGACCAAGTAGGGTAAAGGAATATCATTACTACTTGTTAAGGAGACTCCTATATATGTCGACCTTCGTCCCCAACGGACAGGCAGACCTGCAAAAATGCTTAACCCTTCCTCATATCTGAGAGGGCACTCCCAACGAAGCCTTTCGAAATATTCAGCTTTCTTTCCCCCCGATAATACCTCTGCAAACAAGCTATAGAGCAAGAATATCTCATATCATCAGGGTTAAAAGCAAGAGTATCCCATATCATGCTTTTTCCCTGTCTTTTCCTTTGACCTTGTTCTTACCTGCAAGACAAGGAGAAAGAGAGCAATCAGTCAGTACTTGGAATCAAGCTTCCAGCCAGGAACTGACTGCCTGGAACCCCTTACCTGATTACTTACCTGACATTGCTCTCGAGTACTCATCTTCAACATCTTATGCTTCCAGGGAAGATACCGCATCCGCCTGAGGAACAGATAGGGCAAGGGAGAAGGATACAAGGAAGCATGTGGAGACAAGCGTAACAGCACACATGCCGATACATCCATTACTCTGTCAAAGCAAAAGTATCCCATATCAGCAGGGTCGGACGTACTCTAGATTTGATGGACTTGTTTTGACCCTCAAATTCTTCAGTCGGCCTTATACTCTGGAGGAAACCAGAAAACCCTCCAGCTCAGTTCAAGAATAAGCCTGTGGAAAGTTACTTCTTCAAAAGCAAAAGTATCCCATATCATCTCTTCTCATTTTCTTCTCTTTATCCTTCATGCTGCCTGCAAGATAGGGAGACTGTGAACAATCAGCCGGAGCTATGATTGCTTACCTTGTCTGTCACCTCTTTCAGCAGATCCCCTAGCTCGGCGACTTGGGGGACTCCTACTACATGGTTTGTATCGCGCTTGACCAAGCCTGAAACTACAAGTAAGCTTCAAGTGAAATTGATACATTACCTTGTGCATCTCCACCAGTTAAAGATACCACCCCTGGATGGAGGAAAAGTACTTCCAGAGAAGATGCCCCATCTACCTATGAGATAGATAAGGCACGTCAAGACGATACCACACTCCGATACTTAGAAGTTTCGTGATTACGAGATCATTCTCCCACAATATTTCCTAATGTCATTTGTACTAAATCATTCACTTGTACTCACTAAAGGAGAACTTGAACCTATGTACTTGTGTAAACCCTTCACAATTAATGAGAACTCCTCTATTCCGTGGACGTAGCCAATCTGGGTGAACCACGTACATCTTGTGTTCGCTTTCCTATCTCTATCCCTTTATATACTTATCCATACTAATGACCGGAGCAATCTAGCGAAGATCACAAAAAGCGACCGCTTTCGCTACCTAAGATCTATCGTGCAAGAGAACGGAGAATTAGATGGAGATCTCAACTATAGAATACAAGCTGGATGGATGAAGTGTAAGAGTGCATCCGGCGTGTTGTGTGACCGTCATAGGTCACTGAAGCTCAAGGGAAAATTTTATAGGACGGCAATAAGGCCAGCGATGTTGTATGGCACAGAATGTTGGGCGGTGAAGCATCAACACGTACAAAAAATGGGTGTGGCGGAGATGAGGATGATTCGTGGGATGTGTGGGCACACGAGAAAGGATAAGATTGGGAATGAGGATATCCGAGGTAAAGTAGGAGTAGCCAAAATTGAAGGAAAGATGAGAGAAAATCGGTTCCGGTGATTTGGACATGTGCAAAGAAGGCCTACTGACGCTCCGGTTCGAAGATGTCACTACTGGACAGAGGTTTAGGGCCGAAGGGGTAGAGGAAGACCTAGGAAAACTTTGGAAGAGACTCTAAGAAAAGACTTAGAGTACTTGGATCTAACGGAGGACATGACACAAAACCGAGCGCAATGGCGTTCTAGGATTCATATAGCCGACCCCACTTAGTGGGAAAAGGCTTTGTTGTTGTTGTTGTTGTTGAACATTCCTGCCGCTGCTCCAATTAGGCAAGGGAAACAAAACTTATGAGACCGATTGAGTGGAGGAGGGGAAGACAACGAGAGATTGGGTTTTACAGCTAATGGATCAGCACACATCTTTGCGTAAGATACTAAACTCAGTGAGGGGTCTGAATAGCCAGTAACTTACGGTTCTCTTAATTAAGCATCGTGCAGTTCCATCATTTGAAAATGTTGCAGCTGTACAAGTCAGGTCATTCTGACACATGCTTTTGCATTCCTCTAGACTAACTTTGGCAACTACATCATCAGTTGGTGGGTACATTCCATGTAGGAAAGTATGCTTATAATGAAGCATGTTGGAACCAAAAGAAAACAGCGATTATTTGGAATAAAACATCTGGAAGTGGACTCATTTGTCTGCTGCTTAAATGGACATTCGCAATCAGGGGACCCAGATTCATTGAAGACACAGATACCACGTTGGCCACAGGTTGCAAAGACATCACACTGGTTCTCAACAGCCTGCCAGACTGATCTCCATGACTTTGAATCTTCTACCCATGAGTATAATCGGAGATTACCATCAACATCTAGCCTAAGAAACCTGTAGCTTATGGAGTCATTGTGATCTTGACTGTACAGTGACCACACAGGTTTCAAGCTTTGGTCGCGGAGTTGTAGGGCTCCATCAGAAGTGATGAAAGCACTGAGGTTTGAACTAGAAAGGCTTCCACTTCTCCAGTAGGTGACATGGCTTTCCCATTGAAGTTGCAACTGACTAGAAGCACTCATAAAAAGAGTGTAGTAACTGGACACACAATTCTTGCTTGCAGCTCGAAGTGTTTGCAATGTAGAGAAGCTCTGTCCAGGAAGAAGTATGTCAGATGGAGTATCAAAACTTTGCCAAACAATATGTTTCTCTTGATTCAATAGAACAAGATTTCCATTGTCATTAAGAGCAGCAGAAACAACTGATAATTGCCTTGTTTTACTGGTCCATGCAGTGACACCCTTCAAGGAATCGAATAAAACTAGTTCGCCATCCTGGGTCAGCTGGGCATAAGAATTGTTACCAATAATAAGATCAGCTGCAGCACTCCATACCAAAAGTTGTTGGTCAAGAGGAAAAGACTTCGAAATGAGACGGATCCCGAAACTATAGTTTGGCTGGTCTGAACGGTTAAAAAATCCAAATGCAAAATCACCATTTGGAGAGATCCATATGGTTTTATCGGCTACAGAAATTTTGGAACCCAAGGGAATATCTGAAGTCGCAAGAGTATTTAACAGGAATGCAACAAAGATACACAGCAGGAGACGCGATTTACGGAGATGCTCGACCAGTTCAGGCATATCTGAATATGCTTATAGATCCTACAAAAACAAATAATCAGTACTATGACCTCCTTTAAGTGTAAATCATGTTTGCGTATCAACGTTAATGAATTTCACTAGGAAAAAATTAGAGTAGAGATATAGGAACGGATAAAAAGTTAGAACATTTTTCATGAACAACAATGAGAAGTAAAAATGGCAACAATCAAGGCAACTCATAGCCCAAATAAAAAATAAATAAAAACAAACAAAAATGAAAAAACACTGTTTTTAGGCCAACAGAAAATTGAAGTTCCAAAAAATTTACGATAAACTCAAGGAAATAACAGTCAACATAAATTTCATACAAGTCAAGAAGGAATATATGCAATATTCAGAACTTGGTACCTGAAAAGGCAGTTAAAACCCCGGATATTTAACAAGCCGGTGGAATGCCCCCATCACCACCTCAGAAGCATCCCATTATATATATTTGGAACATTGTAAAATTGTCATGTGAGCATTCAGAATTTCGAATAATCAAACAGAGATTGGCTGACCGAATGAGGCACCCTACGACTTAAACGGGAGGAAGCAAGTGACCAAAAAAGGAGCTGTAAAGGGATTAAAAATTTGGATTTTTAAGGGATTATAAAGTGGGTGTTGAATAGACTCAAGTGGATGAATGGGACCCAAAACCAACCCAATTGGGTACAGTGTGGACTGTTTAGGCAAGGCAATCACTTTCAGGGGCTTGAAAGTTCAACACTCTGGACAACGATATTGCAGGCAAATCATTATTGAAGTTTAATAGCTGATAAATATATAGAAAATCTACAAAATCACAAAATAAACAAGAAACTGGAACACCCCATTATTGGAAAAAGCTTCTTTTTTTGGATTAAAACCATAGATTGGCAGCAGCTTGAGCAAACATGAAATGACTTTTTTCTCATTTACACAATGAATTAGTGATATTTGAATACAAGCGATGTTACTACTTTAATTTACATCAGGGGCGGCCCGGGATGGGGGAGAACCCGGGACACAGTGGGTTGAAGACGAACTCCCTAACCACTAGGGCAATCCAACACTTTCTGAATTAGTGAGATAAGAAAATGTAATAAAAATTGAAACTTTAAGCATTGACAGTGAGTACCACACTACTAACCAGTTTGTCAAATTTGCTTTCCTTCTTCTGCTTTTTCTTTAAAGCTTTTCAAGAGATGCTTTTTCTTCCTGAAAAAAAAAGGGCAGATATATAAGCAGAGGATAAATGACAAATGTTATTTCTGGGCCAAATACCCCCCAGCTTTCCCCTTGGGCTAAATCCCAAATGTTTATCGAAATTTAAATTTTTTTAGATTAAAATGTTCATAAAATTAATTTACAATAATCTACATATTTTTTTTTTTAAATTGATTTAAGAAAAAAATTGGTATAAGTTCATTCTTTAATAATTCCGGGCTAAAATTTTAGGGCAGAAGGGTTGGAGCAGAAAAGATGTTTCTGGGCTAAAAACCAAATTTTCCGGGCTAAAAAATTTGGCTTTTAGCCCCAGGTTTGGAGATGGTCTAAGAGGATGGAGTATCCTTCGTGTCATAATAAATTAGTAATAATGTGGTTCAAAATCATCTTTGGTGAGAATCGAATCTAAGACATTTTATTTAGATGTAAAGAGAAATATCACTAGATCATAGTACTAAATGGTAATAAATTAAATATTTATGTAAAATACTTTTCCCATGCTGCACATTCATTTTTTTCTAAGAATTTATCATAAATGATTTTTGAAATTGACACTCATTCTCAGTTTGAATTATGCTTTCTAAACAAGGTTGCTTTCTTTTTAAGGAAAACTAATGAAAATGGCTTGAAAACTTTGAGTTTTAACGATAAGGACAAAATAAATGGTAAAGTGAATAGTAACAGAATTGACTTTTTAGTGTAAAAATGTGGTTTTTCGTTAAAATGAATAGTATCATAAACTTTTCGTTAAAGCTCTTTCTTTTTATCTAAGAATTGACACTCATTCTTAGTATTACAATCTTGAGGTATTTTTCTTCACTGGTAAGTGAGAGGTCTTAGGTTTGATTCATGTCAAATGCAAATTTGAACCACATTATTATGGTTAGCCCAATGTGAGGCTTAGCTCACTCCCGCACACCTTAGTGTAGATAATATCGTTTTTTCAAAACAAATTCCAATCACTTGGTATATCAGCGGAGTTCTGTTACCGTGGCTTTTCGTTTTAATAGGATAGTGTTATCCACACTCACTTTTATTTTTCACACACTTGTCTCAACTTTTGACTGTCAGATCGAATGAATTAAAAACAATTAACGACCAAAAATTAATAACAGCGTGTGATAAGTAAAAATGAGTATGTAAACAATATTATTCTTTTAATAATGTAATATTATATTTATAAAAAAAAACTTGCAAATAACATAAAACTGAAAAGTCACGTGACGGTAAATACATTATCAAATCGTTGCTCATATTCATTTATTATACAAGTAGGACAAGAGCTTTGGAGGAGGCCAGATGTGCTTCCATGAAGTCAAACACTATATGATTAAGAGTAATATACAATGGAACCAAATCCCCTCCGGATCCTATAAAACTGAGCCCACTAATCAATGCATCCGGATCATTGAAATTTGATCCAACAGCTATAAACAGGGAGCCCCTCTAAAAGTTATAATAATTGTAGCCGTTGAATCAAATTTCAATAGCTCAGATACATTGATTAGTGGGTTCAGATTTATAGGATGTGGAGGGGATCTGGTTTCATATACAACTCTACACCGCCACATCCTCACAGGCGATCTGTTTTAAAGAACAAGAAGATAATCCTCGAAAGCCAATACCAAGATAAAAAGAAGAAAAAGCCACAGAGCCCCACGAGGTTAAGGTGCATGCAAGGGTAATCCACTGCTATAAGGTAACTTAGTTAATCTCCATTTTGCATGCAAGGGTAATCCACTGCTATAAGGTAACTTAGTTAATCTCCATTTCTCACTAGAAATTATAATTTTGCCGACAAATTATAAGTAGACAAAGCAAAATGTTGTTGGCACAAGAGTCATTTCTCGACGAAAATTTTAATTTGTCGTCTGAACACTCATGCCATAACTTATTTACAACGCCAATCTTAGCCGAGAAAATTGGAACGTTAGCCGACGATCATTTTGTAGGCGTCAATTCGATGCCTTGACAAATTTTGTTTTGACGGGTAAATTCTGGCAGGAACGTTTCCCGCTATATTGAAATATTAGCCAATGATGTGCGGCAACAAAGTAGTTCATCAGCAAACTGATAAGAGAGGCAACAAAGTATGTCATCGGCAAAGTGATAATAACTCTACGTGATAAGAACAAACTTATCAAATTCAAGGCAATCCTAACCTATTTTGTCGGTTCACATCCCCCCCAATTGCTCATGATCTCCTTCCCATATTCTTCCTAATCATATTTTGACGGTTCACATCCCCCAATTGCTCCTGATCTCCCTCCCATATTATTTATATTCCTATTTTGTTGGTTCACATCCCCCAATTGCTCATGATCTTCCTCCCATATTCTTCGCTCTCAACGCACCATTCGATTTCACTTTCATAAGAATTCCTATTTACCTTGTAACACTTGGTGTGGTCTTTCCCTCTCAAAAACAATTTTGATGATCCTAAATCTCTAAGTTTATATATTAGGGTTCTCGCACTCTTAACTGACTCTCACTCACGTCTTTGCCTCTATCATCTCTTTCGCTCTCACGATCATCTCCATAATTTTGCAGAAGCGGCAACCACAAGCAACCATGCTTAATGGTGAGGATATAACCAAACTATTTAATATATTGCTTAATTATAGTTTGGTTCAAGACCTTTAGAGCAAGTCAAACGGAGAAAAAATGTCCCAGCCCTCAGTCCAAAAAACAAAATGGCCCTCAGTCAATTTGCTCCAGCCCACAAAGTTGTCTGGCACCTAGCCCATGTCAAGCAACAGACCAACCCAATTTTGACAAACCCAAGGGCCGGCCTATTGGCTGGCGCGTTCTGACACTCGCACCCAGGGCGAGTAGCCGACAAGGTTGCAGAAGGCTATCAGCCCACTTGTGCTCCGGAGCCCCATGAGTGACGCGACATGCTTATAGCCATTGGATTTCCAACGGCCATTTTTTGTAGACCGTTGGATTTCCAACGGTAAAAAAATTTTAAATTTAACTTTTAAAATGGACCGTTCGATCACAGATCAACGGTCCACGTTTTTTTCACAAAAAAATAAAATAAAATAAAATAAAAAGGCCCAATGGTCAGAAATATGACCGTTGGCCACATGGCAACTCCCTGGCTCTTGGATTTGAATGTTTTTCAAATCCAACAGTTCAGATTAATTAACTATATTAAAATTTATTAAAAATTATAAAAAAATACAGAAAAATTATTAAAAAATACAGAAAATTTTAAAAAAAATACAAATTTTTTTTAAATGTTATTTTTTTTTTCTATAAATACCTAACCCTCATCTTCCACCTTTACACCACATTTCAATATTTTCTACACTTTCTATACTATCTACATTTCAATATTTTCTACACTTTAAGAGAAAAAAATGTCTTCGTGGAAGCTCATTGAAGATGTTACGTTGTGTGAATGTTGGGTTCACACTACTCATGACCCGATTACGGGTAATGAGATGGATAAGCAAGAAATGTGGAGTAAAATTACGAAAGCGTTTTGCGATGTACATGGAAAAGACGCCAGAACTAGTTAAGGTCTTCAAGGTCGTTGGAAAAAACTCAACTCATCCTTTACTTGTTGGAAAAACGCTATCTCTCATGCTTCTAGTAACCTCCGTAGTGGGACAAGTTTAGCGGATCAGGTGACGATATTTTTATTTATTTATACCCATTCCACCCACATCAATATTTTAATTTATTTAATTTTGTATGTAATTTCTTATGTCATTTTTATGTAATTTATATGCATTCCACCCGTATCAATATTTAATTTATTTAATTTCTTATGTAATTTTTATTTAATTTCTTATGTCATTTTTATGCATTCCACCCGTATCAATATTTTGAATTTATTTATTTGTGTTACACCCGCATTTTTTAACACTATCTTATCTCACATTTTTATAGACACTACAAGCTCAAGCATTCTACAATTCAAAGAACCAGAACAAATCATTCACCAGATGGGAATGTTGGCAAATTGTCAAAGATTGCCCTAAATACAAAATTGTGGCAACCAATCCAGAAGTTGTCATGCATGGTATGGGTCTACATAGTTCTCCAGAACCAGACATGGCCGAACAAGAAGCCGACGCATTTCAAGACAGGGAAGGGACGCCTGAACAAGTGCCCGAGACCCAACTGACTCGTCAGTCCCTCAGGCCTCAAGGTAAAAAGGCATCAAAGAAAAAAGGTAGTTCTTCCAAAAATGACTACACTAAATATATGGAGGAACTTACTCGCCAAGGTGAACTGAACATAGCACGGGAAAAGGCTAGAGATGAGGAAAAAGTTGCTGCTATGGCATCGATAATAGCAGCTACTGAGGCCCGTGATGCGGCGGTTGAGAGACAAAGAAAAGTAGTTAATCGAAAGAACGAGCTGGTTAGAGAAGCACTTCATCGAGAAAATGAAATGCTTAGAGAAGAAATGATGGCTCAAGCAGATCGTGACATTATGAGCAAGTCTCTAGTAGGACTGTCTCCGAATTCTAAATATTTTTGGGCATCGGAAAAAAGAGATGTCATGCGAAGGAGGCGTGCAAGAGATGCGGAAACAAGTCAAGGGGGTTCTAGCTACACAAATCATGGCAACCAAGATCCTAGCACCACATATCCTAACTCGAGAGACTTTGTATCATTTTTATGTAATTTCTTATTTTTTTAGAATTTTATTTAATTTCTTATGTAATTTTTATGTTTTTTCTATTTTTTTTCTTTTGAACTTTATTTAATTTCTTATGTAATTTTTATATTATTTCTTTTTTTCTTTTGAACTTTATTTAATTTCTTATGTAATTTTTATGTTATTTCTTATTTATTTTTAAAACTTTATTTATTTTTATTTTATTTATTATGCAATTTTAATGTAATTATTTATTTATTTTTGTACTTTATTTAAACACATGAA